AAGATCACTATTGACACTACCAATTCAGTAACACATGACAGCTATAATATTTTCCAATAAATTATTCACTGATGAATAACACAATGAATAACCACAGGCTTTAAACACTTAACATTTTTTACAGGCTTTGTAAAGGTTTACAACTAAGCCTTTTTCTGTGACACATATATTTTTACTATCAGATTTAACACAGTTTGCACAGTATACTTCAGACTGTACTGAATTCATGTTTCTCGACTTATTTGATAATATTCTTGTCTGCAGTTGTTCCACACATAGTACTCATAGAAGCCAAATTATTTTCAAATTGAATACTGACAACTTAAATATGTAATAAATGAGTAGCATATGTAACAATGACTAACTTATCAAGAGACAAAGAATGTTATTCAAAATAGTTTGAGTGGAATTTGCCCCCACAGAGCCTATATTATTTCTTGTTACTTACAACCAAAAATTCCCCAGGGCTCTTGAGCTTGAACTTCTCAAGTACTATTTCAAATAAAATCATTCCTCTTATGGCCTGTCTCTAGTCTGCATCTTTGGGACTTCTGAGTAGGATCCAACAGTCTGCTTTTCTCAGAACATCACCCTTGCTTTGAGAGCAGAAAACTTTGCTGGTTTGTGGCAGTAGATCTTGGTTTTCTTCGTTTGCATCTTTCAGAATGATGGGGTGGAAAAACTACAGTGAAGGAGGACAATTGGAGCAGTGTTCTCAGCCAACTGCCCTGGAGCAGAGCTTTGATCCTACAGGTGGAGCTGGGGAGTAAGAAGACTGCCTCAGCCTTCTTATTATTCTTGCCAGGAGTGAAACTCCAGCAATATGGAGTTGATTTGTCTTTCTCTCTTCCTGGGAGCTACAGCAATACAAATGCATCTTGGAATGATAGCTGAAGAGAGAGGGCATCTTGTGTGCTCAGCTGTACCTCAGAGTGGAGTTTTTATCTCACTGACTTGGGCAGGGTGAGTAATGAGTCTTGGCTTAAACACTTTGACTCTTGGTGTTCTTACCACGATTTAGTAGATTTTCATGGGCTAATGTTTTCTCTGTTTGCTGTGGGGGCTCTGGCTGTAGGGAGGTGCACTGCTCACCCGAAGGTGGTGGCTCTTTCGTCATTCAAATCCACCAGCCTGAGTGAGAGAAAGATGGACACTATTCTCCCATGTGATTTGCAGCCTCTGAAAACCTTAGAGGGTCAGCTGTGAGTTATTTCCAACTCTAAGGTGGTAAGTTGAGTTTATGTCCTTAAGAGCATTTTCAGATGTTTCAGATTTTTTTTTTTAACAAAACAACTGTTTCACTTGATAATAGGGTCTGTGGAGCTTCTCCCACTGCCATTTCACAAAAGGATACTTCTTAGAGGAGAAATGTCTATATTTAATTGAAAAGACTACCATGCTTTGATGTCAATATGAGCCTGCCAGTTGTGCCTTTCCTGTGCAAGGTTATTTTTCTAAATGGCAACATGGGAAAATTTGCCATTGCCCATTTATAAAAATACCTCACAGAGTACGGAATGTATTTAGCAAAAAGTTCAAGACTGTGTCTACTATTTGCATAAAATATAGCATCTTAAACTCATTGCCATCTTTGAGAACCAACCCATAGCTGACCTTCCAACAGGTTTTCAGAGGCTGTCAACTGCATGGGGGGAAACTGCCAGCTTTTCCCAGTGTGGATGTGAACTACCAAAGGGGTCTAGCTGGGGGGTTCGCAGAACAATTCCCAATGGACTATGCTAGCTGTTTTGTTTTGTTTTTTTATTTATGATAGGATCTTCTGTTAAAGTACTAAGGTTCATCTACAACATGTCTTCTGATTCTAAACAATTATGAGACATTGTTTTAGATGGCTATTATCTTCAAATTACTTTAGCACTATTTATTATATATAATCTGGAACACAATATTCTTAGATTTAAATAACTGATAATAAATTGTTCAACTAATTTTATGTATATTTTGATCAGGCACAACTCAAACATACAAATGATTAAACAATACAAACAACAAAACTACAGCAGATTGTTGTTCTTGTTAGGAGCTATTGAGGTACATATGACTCATAATGACCCTATGAACAACAGCCTTGAATCCTGTCCTATCCTGTACCATCCTCATCATCTGTGAAACAGTTGAGTCCATTGCTGCAGGCACTGTGTCAATACACCTCATTCGGGTCTTCCTTTCTTTTACTGACCCTGTACCTTTCCAAAGAACGGTCTCTCCCAGCAATATGTTCCAAAATGTGAGCCAAAGCCTCATCATCCTTGTCTCCAATGAGCACTCCGGTTGCACTTTGTCCAAGACACATCTGTTCGGAGTTTTTGGTAGACCATGGTGTAGTCCCTGCACTTCTCCAACACTACAATTCAATTTAGGCAGGTTTATTGTACATGCTGTGTGCCTTGCAACAATAACTGAATGGCACTCATCAAATGTAATGATTCTAGGAGGATCTTTAAGCGTGTATATGTGCTATCTATCTAAAATATTAAAGTATCAACATTCTCTTTTGCCTGCTACTAAAGAAACTGTTAATTCACTTAACATACAGGAAAATACATAATCTCTCATTGAATAAATATCTTTCAATTGATAGGCACTGTGTTTACTGAAGCAGATATACATAACATAATATCTCTCCCTTTACCAGGTATGCACACAGAACAGAACTATGAACTATATGATTATTGGACAGAAAAGACATATAGTGTGGCCTCAAAACCGGGGAGGACAATTAAACTGGTTAATAAAGGATATAGAAACTTATAGTTCAATTGTGCTTATGTGAAACCTATACTTGGACCAGGAAGCAGTCCTCAGCACAGAGCAGGGAAACACTGTAAGGTTCAAAATCAGGAAGGGAGTGTGTCTGGGATGCGTCTTGTCTCCATTTTTTCCCCCAATCTATATGCAGATCTTTTGGGAGGCTGGGCTTTATGTGGAGGAGTGTTGCATTAAGATTGGATGAAGACTCATTAACAACCTACATGATGCAGATGACATTAACCTTGTTTGCTGAATCTGAGGAGGACCTGAAGTGCTTGCTGCAAAAGGTTAAGGACTGTAGTCTTCAATATGGACTGAAGCTCAACATCAAGAAGACAAAGATTCTAACGACTGGGCCAAGTAGCAGCACCATGATAAATGGAGAAGAGATTGGGGTTGTTAACATTTACAGTTAGACTGGCTCCACAATCAACATTCTTGGCACCAACAGTCAAAAGACAGATTGCATTAGATAAATCTGCTGTCAGAGACCTTTCCAGGGTACAGAGAAGCAACAATGTCAGTCTAGAGACTAAGGTGTGCCTGATCCAGTCCTTGGTCTTCATAATTACTTGCTATGCATTAGAGAGCTGGATAATGACCAAGGATGATAGAAGAAGAATCAATGTTTTTGAGTTGTGGTTCCGGAGAACAGTCTTGAACATACTGTGGACCACCAAGAAATCAAATAGGTCTGTCTTGGAGAGGGTGAAACCTTGGAGGCTAGGGTTTTGAATTTCTGGCTCACATACTTTGGGCATATGGCCAAGGGAGACTGATCCTTGGAGAAGGCCATCATGTTCAGAAGGGTGGCAGGACAGCGCAGGAGAGGAAGACCTGAATGAGACGAATTGATCAAGTAACTAGGACAATGCGGGGGGGTAGGTGTGTCAGAATCAGTGAGATTGGCTCAAGACAGGGCAGGCTTCAGAGCTGCTATACATAGTGTCACTATGAGTCACGGTGTCTAGATGGCACATAACAACAACATAATTTCAGACAAACAAAATAGGTGATGGCTGTACATAAGAGCAATTATCTAGAAACAACAGTGTTAGAAATGGAGAATATACAGAATAAGGGGAAAACAGTGAGCTGGAAGGCCTTGGAAGAGGAAGGATTCAGATAATGTGAAGTCATTAAAGATTTATACCCAAATACATTTTTAAAAGGCAGAAACAGTGGCTCTAACTATAAAAGGGCAACATAAGGGATTCTGTGGCTTTGTCTAGACTATCAGTGTCAAATCCTGGCTGTGATATTTAAGTATAGTTTTCAAGATGTTATTTAGAGGTAGAGACACATAGAGTGATTTGAGCCACTGAGAAACAAAATAGGCCAATTTGACACTATGGACAACATGGGAGAAGGGTGTCAAGGGTGACTCCCAAGGTTTAGGCAAGTAGATTAACAGGACAGGAAAAGCTGTGACCAACAAAGAACTGTCCATGTTATAGATGTTCAGAGTAGCAGGCTATGTGTCCTCCAGGGAATCACGTTAACAGGCAGCGCAATACAGGTCTGAAAGCGAATCAGGAAGGAAGAGGCACACATTATGCAAGATGTATATCAGCTGAAGCCAAGAGAATAGCTAAGTTAATCCAATAAGCAACTACAGAAGGCAGACTGTCAGAGAAATAGTGGAGGAGAGAAGAAAGAGGACCAGTGAATGAATTTTAATCTAAAACTCTACTTGGACCAAGCTAATCTAAGTTAAGTACTAAGAAACTCAACCAATAACATTCTATGACTGGTCTGGAAGCAGGAGCGGCATCCACTTCCTAAACAACTTCCCTGAAGAAACTCTATGAACTTTGATAAATGTCAATAGTTGTAGAGGGGCTTCAGGCCTTTTGTTCATAGGGTCACTATGAGTCGTGCTTGACTCGAAGGCAGTCAACAACAACAACAACAAAAACTAAGAAACAAGAACAAATAACACTTGAGGTACAGTGTAACTGAAATCCTTGCTCTTGTTGTTATGTACTGTCAAATTGGAACTGACTCATGACTGACCCTGCAGTGGGTTTTCAGAAGCTGTAAACAGCATGGAAGGAGACTGCCCATCTTTCTCCTGTGGAGCAGCTGGTGGACCCCAACTGCGTGCCTTTGGGTTGGCAGCATATTTCTTTACCACTAGGCCACCAGAGCTCCTTAAAGATGCTTATTAATGTAAAATCATATTTTAGGAGTAAGACCGGGAAATTACAACTTTAAAATTTTATTACCTATTCTGAAATAACCATCTTCTAACCGTTTTTCTTCTTTGGTTTCTTTGTTTAATTCCAATCCTTCAGTCTAAAATAAAGCAAAAGCATAAATGTACAAAGAGTTGTTTCTATTTAAATAAACAGTAGTTGTAATTTGATCGTAATAGTTGTTGTTGGAGAAAAACATTAATGACCAGAAAAACACTTCCATCTTGAAAATATACAGAAGAATCCTATGTAAGAAATCTTTGCATTCCTTAAAAAAACTTCTCTGTTAAAAAACCCCAACAAACCCAACAACCAGAAAAACCAAAAATGAACAAAACACTTCTCTGCAATCTAGTCAATTCCAACTCATAATGACTCTCCAACAGGTTTTTGTGAGTGTAGATTTTTATGTGAGGATATTGCCATTGTTCTCCCAAGGAGTAACCAGGGGATTTGAAATACTAACCTTGTGGTTAGCAGTCCTATATCTAAAACATTATACCACCAGGGCTCCTTAAAAAGTATTCCTTAGAGACCACTAAGTGAATTTTTGTATTACTCAACAGGCATTAGAAACTCTATGATATTTTAGATTCAGAAGAGAAAAAGTACGTAAACACAAAGTAAAATAATTAATTTCTTTTCTCAGTATAAACCTCCAAGCCATCTTCCAACAGAAAACAAAACAAAGGTTTGTTCTACAAATGAGGCAAATGAGCTAATCTAGGAGACAATTGCCATTTCAGAAAACAAATGAATACTACTCATCACTGAAGTCATGAAAATCACTACAGAGAATTTTCTTTCACATGTTAATTTATAGGTTGGTCATAAACCAAATCTACTGATACCATTCCTTAAGGAAGGTTAGTAGGGAAAATCATCATACCTTAAAAGGCAAAACTTCTACAGTTGTATTTAGCAGGATATCCCCTGGATGTTCTTGGTTCCCACTATGGAATAAATAACTGAAAATACAAATATAAAGGTAAAAATAGGAGTCAGATAAATACAAAGATTCAGAAAGAGAACTGTAGTTTAACAATAACAGTAACAATTCACTGTCATTGAGTCAGTGCAGACTCACAGTGACCCTCCACTGGGTTTCCAAGGCTATAAGTCTCCACAGGCAGAGACTGCCCATCTTTCTCCCCTGGAGCCAGTGTTGGATTTGAATACCTGAGGTGTTCTTTTTTGGATCAACAATGCAATTCAGTATGGACTACAAACCAGAACTGACCTCAGAAAAAGCTTTTCTAAACTAATTATACAAAACTGACAATACCAGAACTTTAAGTAACTTGTAAAACATGCATTTTGATAGTCACAGAAAACTTAAGGATAATTAAGGACTTTTAGGTGATGTGTTAGTTTCTATGTCAGAAAGGGCTACATTTAATGTTTAACCTAATATGGTATTCAACAGATGAAAACAAGGACTATGTTATGTCACTACTTACACTGCTTTAAATAGGCTGTCTGCCATCAGAAACTCTTTGAAACGTACAGCTAGGCAAATAGTTCTTTGATTGATACAGCTAAGCATAATCCATAAAAGGAAAGAGTAATAATAAACTAGACACTCTCAAAATGAAACACTTCTGCTCTGCAAAAGATCCTGAGAGAGGTTGACGAGACAGGTCACAGAATGGGAGAAAATATCTGCAGATGCACACTTGGCAAAGTACTTCAGTACTTAAAGTATCTTAAAACAGATAAAGAATTTGTAAAATTTAACAGCAAAACGCACATCATTATACTGGGCAAAACTCACAGACTACTTAATGAAAGAGCATAGAGGCACATGAAAAAATGTTCATTATTATAAACCACTATGAAAATGCAAATTCAAATAATAATGAGCTATCAATATTACCTATCAGAACAGCTAAAATAAAAAAATAGTAACTTCATCAAATGTTTGTTACAATGTGGAGAAACCAACTACTCATATAACTGTTAGGTAGGAGTAGAAATGGGGTAGACATTCTGACAAATAGTTTGGCAGATTTTTTTTAGAGTATAAAGAAATCAAAACCCATGCACAACTGTTCTTAATAGCTTTACATGCAATACCTCCAAACTGGAAAAAACTGGGGTCTTCAAATGGATAAGTGATTAAAGAAACATCATCTGATCCAAGGAAGATGCCTCAGCAAGAAAAAGGAATGAACTATTAATACAAGAAATAATTTGGATCAATCTCTAGAGAATGATGTTAAGTCAAAAGTACCAAATTGAAAAATTAAATAAAAAAAAAACCTTACAAAAATTCCAGCTTATAGAACATTCTAGAAATGAAAAAAAAAAAATCATAGAAATGCTTGCCAAAAATATCAGTGGTTGTGAGGGGTTAATGAACAAGTACTGGCAGGAGAAGTGCATGTAGCTATAAAAGGACAACATGAAGGATCCTGATGCTGACAGGAATATGTTTTATCTTGACCACTACTGTCAAATCCCGGATACAATAATTTCCTATCATCTGAAAGATGTCAGCACTGGGCGAAGATGGATAATGAGTGCCTTGGCTCACAGATCTTAGAGGGCATGTGGTTGTATAATTTCTCAAAATCAATGTTTATCTTTTTAAAAGATAAATTGCTTCTTGGAGAAAAAAAGCACATATAAAATAAATGTATCAAGTAAAAATTAAAAATGTTATCCCATCTCTATTATTATTTTATCTCTTCTAGATTTATTCTAAGTAACACAAGTAAAATAATATTTTTCCATTATGGTAACAAAAGCAAGCTCATTCTATTATTACATAATTTGCTTGTTTTTGTGTCAATATATATGGGTTTATGTAATTTTTTTCCCCCACCCCGGGTTTATGTAATTTTTAATGATAGCTTGCAGTGTTTGACTGCAGGCATTTACTCAGCCAAAATCTACTAGTAACATTCATGTTGTTTTGACTTCTAACATGGTTCTTTAAGTATGCTAATATCTCAAAGCATAGAATTTACTATACAGTATCAAAGTGAGTATTAGAGAGAAAGAAAATGAGTATTATATACTTATCCACATACACAAGTTTTTGTTCTGTTAGTGTTATTCCTATTGTTTAACACTTTTTACTACCTAAATTCCTTTTTTAAGTTAGCTTAGAGCAACAAAAGAAAATGAATGGCAATATTTTTTTAAACATTCAATGGGATTATTCCAAATGAATTTTGAAAGAATGTAAAAGTTAAATGGGCCTTCATATGAGCACACATTAAATAATGTACTACTAGCTTCCTATTTTGGGATTACGTTTAAGTATGTTGGAGGCAGGCTATGGAACACACCTAGGATTGATGCAAAGTCAAAGACATCATAATAGTTTAAATAAAATACAATGAGAAAAACAAGTTCTGAGTTTGAAAAATGAATATAAATGCTGAAAAAATACTATAACAAAAGTTATAATATTTCTCTGCTTTTCTTATATTGTCAAGCTGAGTATGATTCTAAGCGATCCTGTGACCAACAGACTTGAACCCTGTCCTATCTTGCACCATCCTCATTTTCTCTGACATATCAGAGCCCACTGTTGCAGTTACTGTGTCAATCCGTCGTACTGATGGGCTTCATCTCTTTTACTGACTTTTCACCTATCCAAGAGTGATGCCTTTTTTCCAAAAAGTAGCCTTAATGGTCTACTAAAATTAACTCACCATTTTAAAAACTATGACTAGGAATAATTGTAAGTCTTCTGTATTATCATTTCAACCAAATTGCTGGACTAATTAACTAGCTCTCAGTCTAGAGTTGAGATGATCTATGAAAAACACATGGAAACAAAGTTGAGGTTTTAAGCAAGAGTTGTATGTAACTAGTTTTAGAAAGTATATGTTTCAACAGACAAACGCTGTCTTGGATGTGCTCACCAAGTTCTGCCAATAAATCTGAAGGACAACTACGTGGCCAAATGACCAGAAGAAATCCATATTTGTTAACATTCAAAAAAAGGGTGACCCAGCAAAGTGTGAAAATTATTTAACAATATGACTGATATCACACACAAGGAAAATCCTGCTGAAGATTATCCCAAAATGACTGTAACATTACATTGACAGAGACCTACCAGAAATACAGGCTGGGTTTAGAAAAGGACATGGCACCAGACATATTATCTCTGACATCAAATGGATCTTGGCTGAAAGCAAAGAGTACCAAAGGAATGCCTTTCTGTGTTTTATTGACCTTGTAAAGACATTTGACTGTGTGGATCACAACAAATTGTGGCTAACGTTGAAAATTATGGGAATCACAGAACACTTGACTGAGCTCATGTGAAACCTATACTTGGACCAGTGGTCAAGTCATATTTGAAAGCAGTGGTCAGAATAGAGCAAGGGAACACTACATGGTTCAAAATCAGGAAAGGAGTGCATCAGGGATGCATTCTATCTCCATAGTTTTTCAATCTGTATATGCAGAACACATCATTAGGGAGGCTGGACTTTGAGGAGGAATGTGGCATCAGGATTGGAGGAAGACTCATCAACAGCTACATTATGCAAAGGATACAACATTGCCCACCAAAAGTGAGGAGGACCTGAAACGTTTGCTGCAGAAAGTCAAGGACTGCAGTATTCAATGTGGATTGAAGCTCAACATCAAGAAAACAAAGATTCTCACCATTGGGCCAGAAGAAATTAAGGTTATTAACAATTTCAGCTTGCTCTGCTCCACAATCAAGGCTCTTGGCACCAGTAGTCAGGAAATCAAAAGACGAATCGTGTTAGGAAAAATCTGTTGTCAGGGCTTGTTCCAGAGTGAAGAGCTGTCTAGACACTAAGATGCAGCAGATCCAGGCCATTGTCTTTGCAATTATTAGCTATGCATCAGAGAGCTGGACAATGACCAAGGATGACAGAAGAAACAATGCCTTTGAGTTGTGGTGTTACAGAAGAGTGTTGAGCATATGATGGATTGCCGAGAGAACAAACAGGTTTATCCTGGAGAAGGTGAAACTAGGCTGCTCTTTGGAAGCAAGGATTTTGAAACTCTCACAAACTTTGGGCACGTGAACAGGAGGAACCGGACCCTGGAGAAAGCTATCATGCTGGGAAGGGTGGAGAGACAGTGCAAGAGAGGAAGACCTTGGATGAGATGGATTGATACAGTAACTGAGGTAATGAGGGTAGATGTGTCAGAGACAGTGAGATTAGCTCTGATAGAGCAGAGTTCAGAGCTATTGTACATGTAGGGTCACTATGAGTCACAGGCAACTCGAGAGCACATAACAACAACAATAACAACAACTAAATTTAACTGCAGAAACACCAAGAAAGTCTATCTATCATCTGAAAACAAACTCCATCTATTGCAAAGTTAGTGAACTTAAAACAATACTTTGGGGCCTTCTTTCTCCTCATATCTGTTATATGCATTATATAAAAAAAATTGCATAAATCACATTACAAACAAGAAGTTTCAATTACAAGACCAAGAACATATCAATAGCCACCAACCTTTCCACATTGACTGGCTTATCAAATTTAAACAAGATATAGTCTCCAGCTACTGGAGTGATGGCCCAGAAGAAATCCTCTCCCATGTAAGTTTTCTCCAGTGTGTGTCCTTGGTAGACCTTCATGGAAGTCGAGACCTCTGCCGGTGGGTTCACATGGATTTTAAGAAGTAATGGTTTCATGTAATCTTTATCCTACAAGAAAATACACATAAGCTATTAAACAATTTACATTTATGAGAAAGAGCAATAATTACATATTAAATGACAAACTGTATGTTCAGAGAAGAAAATAAAGTTAAATCACTAACCGTGAGCTTCTGAATTTTTCCTGTTAGTGAAGAATGCAGACCGACATGTTGGAAAAGAGAAGGTCTGAAGCGAATTCTCAGATTTGCCTTCTGTCTATCACAATGTTTCTAAGTATTAAAAAAAAAAGAATCACATTAGTGTTTCATAATAAAGTGAAATCTTGTCTTCAAACAAAGAATACTGAAAAGACAACTTCAACTCGTAATTTAAAGCCATGTACCTTTCATGCTTTTCTTTGAAGCATAAATAATTCCTCATGGACCGCCAAAAGAACAAACAGATAGTTTTGGAGAAGGTGCAGCTTTAAGGGCAAAGACAGTGAAACTTCATCTCTCATACTTTTGGGTGTGTTGTGAGAAGCAGTATTCCTTGCAAAGAGACATCATGCTAGGAAAGGAGGAAGGTCAGTGGAAGAAAGGAAGACCTTCAATGAGATGGACTAACACAGTGACTGTAGCAATGGGCTCAAGTGTGTCAGATATGATGAGGATGACACAGGATAGAACAAGGTTCAGAGCCATTGTTCACTGGCTCACTGTAAGTTGTACTTGACTCAACAGCAGACACTTAACAGTAACAACAGCAACAACCAATCTGATAAACAGTCATGATCAGAGATGAAATTAAAAAATACATCTAACAGCAGACATGTCTGGAAGATGAACAATGGCACCAGAAAGTACTCACTCCTAAGAGTAACCAAACATGCAAGAAGAAAAGGGCAGCATTTGCTCAGGAATAAGCCAGAAGGCAGGCAGAGAGAAGAGAGAAGGGTGACTAGAAACAGTAACTGGAGTGAGAAAGTGGGAAAAGCACTGGTATATTCTGGGAATTGCAGCAATGTCCTGAAACGAAATGTGTATGAGTGATGGAATAGAAAATATATTTGCCTGAATCAGATACACCTTAGTCTTCAAACTGATATCATTGTTGTTGTTATGTGCCACTGAGTTACCTGAGATCCACAGCAACCCTATGGACAGCAACTCTGAAACCTGCCCTGTCCTGAGCCAGTCTTATTGATTCTGACACACCTAACCCCATTTCCACAGTTATTGTATCAATACATCTCATCAGGGGTCTTCCTCTCCTGTGCCGTCGCTCCGCCCTTTGGAGCATGATATCCTTTTCCAAGGAATGGTCCTTCCTTGCCACATGCCCAAAGTATGTGAGACAGAGCTTCAAAATCCTAGCCTCCAAGGAGAAACTTGGCTTTACCCTCTCCAAGACAGACCTGTTTGTTTTCTTGGCAGTCCATGGTATATTCAAGATTTCTCCAGCACAACAACTCGAAGGCATCAATTCTTCTTCTGTCATCTTTAGTCACTGTCCAACTTCCCGATGCATAGCAAGTAATAGGGAAGACCCTGGTCTGGATTAGGCACATCTTAGCCTCTATGATAACTTATTATGCATCTGAGAACTGGACAATGAATAAGGATGACACAGGATAGAACAAGGTTCAGAGCCATTGTTCACTGGGTCAAAAAAATTATATAAAAAATTATATCTTTGAGCTGTGGTTTTCAAGAAGAGCACTGAATATCCCTGGGATGGCCAAGAAAACAAACAGATATGTATTGAAGAGGTTGCAACTGGAGTGCTCTTTAGAGGCAAAAATGATGAGGCTTTGCCTCACATACTTCGGCCATATTGGTAGGAAGTGCTCTTCCCTGGAGAAGGACATGATGTTGGGAAGGGTGGAGAGTCGACAAAGGAGAGGAAGACCCTCAACCAAGTAGATTGACACATTGCCACAATGGGCTCTTATGTGTCAGGAAGTGGAGGATGGCTTGGATAGAACAGGGTTCAGATCGTTTTTGTTCACAGTGTCACTATGAATTGTACTTGACTCAACAGCACTTTACAACAACAAATAAAGAAATTATAACCCATTGGAGAAAAAAAAAGAAAATATATTTGCTCTGTAAGTTGCATTCAAATCACATGTAAAAGACAGAAGGGAAAAAATAGAAGTAAAGAGGGAAAGATTTCACTTTAGCTACCTTTCAAGATATGTTAATATAACTTTGACTCTTAAAACACATAAATTATGCTCTGTGGTTAAAGTGTAGAGCAGTGGGTAAAGTGCTCAGATGCTACCTTAAAGGTCTGCAGTTCAAATCTACCAGCTGTTCTGCAGGAGAAATATTTGGTAGTCTACTTCTGTAGGAATTTATAGCCTTATAGATCATTACAAAGGCTGAAGAAGAAGAAAAGACAAAGATGGATGTCAGATGAGACTCTGAGTATTGCATTAGAGCGCTGAGAAGCCAAAGCTAAAGGAAGAAATCAAAGAGCTGAACAGAAAATTTCAAAAGGCAGCTCAGGACGACAAAGCAAGATACTATAATGAAATGTGCAGAGAGCTGGAGTCAGAAAATCAAAAGGGCCGAATTCATTCAACATTTCTCAAGCTGAAGGAGTTGAAAAACAAATTCAAGGCACGGGTGGCAAAACTTAAAGATAGTTTGGGTAGAATGTTAAATGATTCAGGAAGTATCAAAAGAAGATGGAAGGAGTACACAGAGTCACTGTATCAGAAGGAATTGGCTGACACGGAGGAATTTCATGATATAACATATGAGCAAGAGCCTACAGTGATGAAGGAGGAAGTTCAAGTTGCTGTGAAGGAATCGGCAAAAAACAAGGCTCCAGGAGTTGACAGCATACCAATTGATTTATTTCAACAAACAGACGCTACCCTGGATGTGCTGACTAAGTTGTGCCAGGAAATCTGGAGAACAGCCAGCTGGCCAACTGACTGGAAGAGATTGATATTTGTTCCCATTCCAAAGAAAGGTGATCCAACAGAGTGTGGAAAATTAACAAACAATATCATTGATATCACATGCAAGCAAGATTCTGCTGAAAATTATCCAAAAACGTTTGGAATAATATATCAACAGAGAACTACCAGATGTGCAGGCTGGATTTAGAAGAGGTCGTGGTATGAGGGATATTATAGTTAATGTTTGATGGATCTTGGCTGAAAGTATCAGAAGAATGTCTATCTGTGCTTCATTGACTATGCAAAGGCTTTTGACTGTGTGGATCACAACAAGCAATGGCTGACTCTGAGAAGAATGGGAATCCCAGAACATTTGATTGTGCTAATGCGAAACCTATACTTGGACCAAGACACAGTCATCAGAACAGAGCAATAAGACACTACATCGTTCAAAATCAAGAAGGGGGTCCATCAGGGATGTATTTTGTCTCCATACCTTTTCAATCTGTATGCAGAACAGATCATCTGAGACGCTGGGCTGTATGAGGAGGAATGTAGCATCAGGATTGGTGGAAGAATCATCAACAACCTGTGTTATGTGGATGACACAACCCTGCTTGCTGAAACTGAGGTGGACCTGAAGCACTTGCTGCAGAAGGTCAAGGACTGCAGTCGTCAATATGGATTGAGGCTCAACATCAAGAAAACAAAGATTCTCACCACTGGGCCAATTGGCAGCATCAGCATGGATGGTGAAGAGATTGAGATAGTTAACAGTTTTAGTTTACTTGGTTCCACAGTCAACACTCTTGGTAACAGCAGCCAGGATATTAGGAGACGAAGTGCATTGGGAAAGTCAGTTGTGAGGGACCTCTCAAGAGTACTGAAGAGCAATGATGTCAGGCTGGAGACTAAAGTGTGCCTGATTCAGGCTATAGTCTTTGCAATTACGTGCTATGCATTGGAGAGTTGGATAGTGAACAGGGATGAAAGAAAGAGAATTGATGCCTTTGAGCTGTGGTGCTGGAGAAGAGTGTTGAATATACCATGGACTGCTAGGAGAACAAACAGGTTTGTCCTAGAGAGGGTGAACCCAGAATGCTCCGTGGAGACAAAGATTCTGAAGCTTCATCTGACATACTTTGGGCATGTTGCAAGGAGGGACTGGTCCTTGGAGAGGGACATCATGTTTGGGAGAGTGGAGGGACGGTGAAGGAGAGGAAGACCCTCGATGAGATGGATCAATTCTGTGAGTGGAGTGGCGGGAATGAGTGTGTTTGAGACAGCAAGGTTGGCATAGGATTGAACGGCATTTTGTACATAGGATCGCTATGAGTCGCAAGTGAATCGATGACACATAACAACATAACAACAACATATCTCATAGGGCAGTGTTACTGTCTTACAGGTTCACTATACATGACAGTGCAATTTAGGCTTCTTTGTTAAATAATTTTTTTTATTTTATACTGGTTTGCTTACAAAGTTCATATGCATTGCTTTTCACACTGGAATAATTTAATGTTTCAACTCAAGGTGTATCATGACCAAAACTTCAGATTACAAATAGTCCTTATACTTGATAACTGTGTGTGATGATTCCTAAAATTCTAAGAAACCCAAAAAATGTTTTCAAGATTGCATTAATTCAGTGCTTCGACATTGGTAGGATGATATTTTAGTAAACTATCTGCAGGACAGTTAAGTAATAATTTTCACAAATTTTGGACTAAATGAAAGAAAAAAAGAGACATTTATGAAATATTTTATCTTTAAAAGACTCCAGAATGTTACTAACTATAATGTCTAATTCTATTCAAAGAGGTTGAGGGTTTAAAAAAAATTTATTATTTTATTACTTTTTGCATGTGTACCATCAAAACGGATCTGACTGGTACAGGAGGAGATTGCCCCTCCTTCTCCAGCAGTGCATCTGGTGGATTTGAACTGTATACCTCTGGGATTGCAGTGCAGCTTCTTGCCATTAGGTCACCAGAGCTCCCTTAAAAAGTTTTACACTTCATTAGCATTATTACTAATATGTAGCAGAGTTGAAAGAGCATCTCACTGACAAACATTCGACTATAAGCAGAAGGAGAAGAATAGAAAAGGAAAAGTAAGGAGGATGAGGGCAGCAACAATAGCAAAGGGAAGAGAAGGTAAAATGAGGTAGAAGAGGGAAAGAAAGTGTGGGCAATTACGTTTCCTACTCAAGAGAGCCTGTGCCATGGGCAATGGAAATACTCAAGGTAAAGTAAGCAGGTTGGTAAAGCTTTAGAAGAATGTATAAATGATCTGAAAGGTTTCCCATACCACTGTCAATGAGATAATGTGATAATGTTCAAATGGTCAGAAAGTAATGGCTTCCTTGACATCTTGGGAGAAGTAAACAGAAAATTAAAGGCTACAAAAAAACATGGAGTAAGGTCGGACATTGTGAGGAATTATATACTGAATAAAGGTTTAATATACAGAGTATATAAAGAAATATTTTTCATTTTGAGCAACAACACCCTAACAACCCAACCTAAAAATCGGTAAAGGATCTGAATAGACATTTTACCAGAAGATATTCAAATGACCAAGACACACATAAAAAGTGCTAAATGTCGTTAAGTCACTGAGGAGACACAAGTTAAAATGACAATGACGTTATCACTTGACCTCTCTAGAACATTAATGACCAAAAAAGGTAATAAAAAATAGGCTGATGAAGAGAACCGGCGAATTGAAGATGGGGAGAAATGCTAACCCTAAACCACTGCCGGCAGAAATTAAAAATGGAAAACAGGTTGGTAATTCCTAAATAGTTAAACATCAAAGTACCATAACTCACTGTCTTCAATAGATCCAACTTGTTGTTGTTGTTGTTGTGTAGGCTGTCAAGTAGCTTGCGACTCATAGTGACCCTATGTACAATAGCCTTGAAACCTGCTCTATCCTGTCCCAACCTTATTGTCTCTGACACACCAACCCTCCTTATTGCAGTCACTGAATCAATCCATCTTATCAAGGGTCCTCCTCTCCTGTGTTGTCCCTCCACCCTTCCAAGCATGATGTCCCTCCCTAAGGAGTGGTCTCTCCTTGCAACATGCCCAAAGTATGTCAGACAGAGGTTCAGAATACTTGCCTCCAAGGAGCAGCCTGATTTCACCCTCTCCAGGATGAACCTGTTGGATCTCCTGGAAGTTCATGGTATATCCAATATTCTTCTACAGCACCACAGCTCATAGGCATCAATTATCTTTCTATCATCCGTAGTCATTGTCCAGCTTTCTGGCGCACAGCAAGTAATTGCAAAGACTATGGCCTTTATCAGGTGCACTTTAGTCTCCAGGCTGTCATCTCTGCTCTTGTAACAGTTTGGAGAGGTCCCTTACAGCAGACTCTTCCCAACGCAATTCTTCTTTTGATTTCCTGGCTGCTGGTACCAAGACTGCTGATTGTGGAGCCAAACAAATTAAAGCTGTTAATAATCTCAATCTCTTCACCATTGATCATAATACTGTCAATTGGCCCAGTGCTGCAAATCTTTGTTTTCTTGATGTTGAGCTTCAATCCATATTGAAGGGGGCACTCCTTGACCCTCTGCAGCAAGCACTTCAGGTCCTCCTCAGTTTCAGCAAGCAAGGTTGTGTCATCTGCATAAAGCTGGTTGCTGATGAGTCTTCCTCCAAATCTGATGCCACATTCCTCCTTATAGAGCCCAGCCTCCCAGATGATCTGTTCTGCATACCAATTGAAAAGGTATGGCAATAGGATACATCCCTGCCATACACCCTTCCCAATTTTGAACCATGCAGTGTTTCCTTGCTCTGTTCTGACGACTGCTTGCTGGTCTAAGTATACTTTTCACATAAGCACAATCAAGTGTTCTGGGATTCCCATTTATCTCTGAGTTAGTCACAGCTTGTTTTGATCCACATAGTCCAACACCTTTGCATAGTCATAGATAGATATTACTCTGGTACCCTCTGCTTTCAGCCAAGATCCATCTAACATTAGCTATAATATCCCAAGTACCATGGCCTCTTCTAAACCCAGCCTGCACCTCTGGCAGTTTTCTGTTGATGTGCTGTTCCAGTCATTTTTGTATAATTTTTAGCAGAATCTTACTTGCATATGATATTAATGATGTTGTTTGATAATTTTCACACTCTGTTGGTCACATTTCTTTGGAATGGGAACAAATATAGATCTCTTCCAGTCAGTTGGCCAGGTGGCTGCTCTTCAGATTTCTTGGCACAACTTGGTGAGTGCTTCCAGGGCAGCATCTATTTGTTAAAATATGTCAATTGGCATGCCATCTATTCATGGGGTCTTGTATTTTTTGCCAATTCTTTTAGAGCTGCTTGAACTTCTTCCTTTATCACCACAGGCTCTTGCTCATATGTATTTCATTAAATTCTTCTGTGTCAGCCAATTCCTTTTGGTACAGTAATTTTGCCTACTTCTTCCATCTTCTTTTAATGCTTCCTGGATCATTTAATATTCTGCCCAAAGCATTAAGTATTGGAACTTGAGGCTTGAATCTGTTCTTCAATTCCTTCAGTTTAAGATCCAATTTATAGCAAGTGTATATGAGTTAGTAATCCTAATCTTATCTTTACATCCAGAAGAAGTAATCAGAATAAATAATCAGAAAATAATCAGAAATTTGTATACTAATGGTCATTGTAGCAGTAACCACAATAATGAATAAAATGTGTAAACCTTAACATCTGTTAATAAATGAATGAATAAACAAACTGATATACACATACAATGGAATATTACTCAGCCACAAGTAATCAAGTCCTGAAGCATGCCACAACATGGCTAGACCCCAAAAACATCCTTAGTGAAACAGGTCTATCAAGAAAGTGCAAATATATGGTCCCATTTATATAAAATAGAAAAAAAAATAGAGACCAAAGTTTACGAATAGTAACAAAAGGTAACCAAGGCAACCAAGAGGTTAAATAAGAGGTATGGTTACCAGGCAAGGGGGAAAGAGATAACTGCTTAGGGAGCATTAGTTTGTGTAAAGGGTGATAAAATAATCTAGAATAGTGGTGACAGTTGTAAAACATTATGAATGTAATTAATGTCACTGAATTATACATGTAAAACTTACAGGATTGGTAAATGTTTTATCATTTATATCAAATAAAAAACAAAGCAAAACCATAAGCTAAGAAATAATGAAGAGATGAAACTCTGCAAAAGATTGCATACAAAAATTTGTGAATGATTGAAAGAAAGTGTTTTGTTTTGTTTTACTTTTACAATCAGCATTTCTTGTTGTTGTTTCACTTCTCCCTATGTCACCTCATAATCTAATTTTGGAACTTTACCACATATTAGGTAAACTGTATAGTATCAATTAAAGTATGTTCCCTAGGCAGGTAAAGATGCCACATTATTCTTAAATGGCATCAGATCATTTATACATTCTTCAAAAGTTTTATCAACCTGTTTGACTCTTTACCCTGAGCGTCTTACAATAAAAATGAGAAATATCAATAAAAATACCAGTAAAGGCTTAGCACTTAAAAATGAGTTGTTAAAATAAACATCTATGTTACTAGGAGATGATACTTTACTGTTTTACATTCCAATATCTGTTCTAAAATAGTAGTTTTTCAGTCTCCCATTTTTTTGGTGTGTATGTGGAGAAGGGGTTTGGAAATATACATAACCAATGGATTCTTTAAAAAAAAAAAGAAAGGAACACAATAACAGTTTATAGATACTTAGAGGTAGTATTCTGAAAATAAGTGGCAAACTATTCTAGAGACAATAAAATCAAGAAGTTAGACTAAATGTTTGTTACAATGAATTTGAATGCACACTATAATGATGTACTCTCAAAATAAATATTTGTTTATTATGAAATCATTAATTTTTAAGTATATGTACATTGATAATATGCTTATGCTTTATAAAAGAAATTAAAAGTTATATTTATTTCAGAGAAACAATTCAAATTGCACAAAAACCCCACATCTAATTGCCTTTTGCAACAAGATTCTTATGAAAATAGTAATATTTGAATAATCAAAGTAAAAAAAAAATCTGTTGCCATGGAGTCAATCCCAACTCAGAGTAACCCTACAGAATAGAACAGAATTTCCCCATAGGGTTTCCAAGGCTGCACACATTACAGAAGCAGATTCACATTATTCTCCCATGGAGCAGCCAAACACTTTAAGCACTGTGTCAACAAGTCTCAATAATCAAAACAAAAATTCTAATTCACTTACTCACTTAACCACCATAATTCCAAAAGTGAGCATGTTAGCAAGAACATTAGTCTCTTATAAGTATTGTACTAAAAATTCTCTTTTTGACTTGCCATTTTTTACTTGTTTATATGACTTCTATTTGTATAAAAAAATTTCTATTTCATTCCTTATTTCTAGATACACCAGGGTCTGATGTTGTCCCAATGCATATAGATATTAGAGTCAACAGTGATTATGAAAACAAACTCAAACACCTCAAAGAAAATAGATCCACTTCTCTAGCCAGCTGTAATCAAATATGAGAAACTTAAAGAGACCAGGAACATTTAGCAGCAATTTAAGAAATATTATTGTTCCAAAAAGCTTCCCTGAAATGTAGAATTTTTAAGTTATTTAAAAGCCTGTCTACAGATTTTTTTAAATCAATTCAAGAAATAAGGCAGGCAATTTAAACTTTAAATGGAAACACTGTTCTCTTTCAACTGAATACTTAACTAATTCACTGAGAGAATTGGCTCATGAAAAGTCACTTGCATGGAATTTAGCAGAGCAGCCTCCTCCACCTGTATAAAAAATTAACTTACAGCATCTTTTTCAGGGTTGCAGACTTTCACCCAGAGAATATGATCCAAAAGCCAATCAATGGGTTTCTCTTTATAAAACATAAATATGAATTCTACAATCAGAGTGAGGTCCGGTGCTTGAAACATTTTACCTAAAAAGAGATTCCAAGTCAGTAGCAGTAATGAGGAAATGAAGTATCAGAGCAATTTAAGTACTGAAATTTGTACTTGCAACTGTATATTTCATAGTTATCCCATTTGCATTATTATAAACAAAAACTTTCTTTAGCTAAATAGTCTTGAGCTACCATCTTATTATAAATTGAAGCAATGAACTCTTTACTGTTCTATTTTAAAATCTATCACACAATCATCAACTCAAAAGATTCAAAAGCAAGTCAGAAAAATTTCCTTCATTAAAACTCAACCCACAAGAACATGAAGAGATTAAGATAAAGATGTTTTTACTAAATCAGCTAAATGCAAAAAACAGACTCCTAAATCCTATCTTCACTGAAATCTTTACAAGTAAAGATGCTTTTTGGCTCACAAAGTAACTTTTGTGTTAAAGGGTCAAAGGTCTAGCTTCTGTTTTAAAGTACAGGAAGTGGAATGTTGTCATTAGGGCTTTTTTAAAAATTTTGTGTAATCTTTCAACCTTAAACATATTCTTTTTTACAACACAACAATAATATTTTTTTAGGTGGCTATTTAGAAACTTAAAAATGTTTAAAAATGAACCCCTTAATTAATCAAAGAAATAAAAGATTAGTAACTGTATGAGAATTTTCACGCACTACATGACAATATTGTTGTTGTTGTTGTTATGTACCATCAAGTCATTACTGACTCATAGCTGACTCTCCAGTAGATTTTCAGAGACTATAAATCATGAGAAGGAGACTGCCCATCGTTCTCCTTATATGCAGCTGGTGGACTTGGACTGCTGGCTCAGACTGACAGTAAAACTCCTTACCCACAAGGCCATCAGACCTAGCTTGAAAAGTAAGTTTACACTAAATTTTTTAAAAAGCAATCAGTCATTTAAAAAAATCTGTATAGAATACAATTTAGAGTACAGTAAGAATTTGTTTAATAGTCTGAGAGACAAAATTCTTTCGACAAGCACATAAAAATGATATGTTCTCTTACCAATGAAACCCAGCTGGGAAAACTCTAAAATCATCCATTCTTCAGAAGAAAGTTGAAGTGCAAAATTTTTTATGGTATTAAAATAATTCTGTTTCACAATAATGTCATCTTCAAGCTAGAGGGAAGTGAATAATCAGAAAGAGAAGGAGAAACTTAAATGGATACTATTTTTAAAAATATCTTTTTTTTTCCAAGAAAACCACTAGTCAGAAATGATGAAAACATCTAGATAAATGTTATTCAGAGAAAATGAGAACAAAACAGGAAACATACACACACATATTAATATGCATATACACATAGATGTCAGTTAAAGTACTCTGTTGTTGTTGTTGTTATGTGCCGTCGAGTCGATAATAATGCCAGTCTATGAGTTACTTCTACTTGGTGTTTTATGCTGCTTATTACTCATTTTCTTTTCAAAGAGAAAGAATTCTGTAGGTCTCTAATTTTTCCCCCTTAAATGTAAAACATGCACCAAGTCAAAGAGAAGGTTAAAGAAAAAGCTAATAATGAACAGCACAAACTGTAGGGAGCACTGACACACTGTAAACATACAATATATTCAGTTTATATCTGCCACTGTTGTTGTAATATCTGACATACTAGTGCCACTTAGGAAGAACTATTCTTATTATTTCTTAGCACATCTTTTCTTAGTTTTTCATATATTTAATCTTCCTGTACTCCATAACAAAAGCTTTTAGATTCTATTAATTAACTTCTTACAGAAGAATTTAAAACATGTTAAAAACAATCTAACTACTTCTTAAAACTGTCTACATAAAGATTTTGACCATAATGTAAAGATTTATACATTGGCCCTAGAACAGAATAGCCAAGTTCAACTGTAATATTATTTGGATGTGTTAAAATGTTTTCCTTATTATTTTGAAATTAAAATAAGACTTCTGCTATATTTATAAGAAAAACCGTATCTAAATCTGAGGTATTGTGTTTTCATATATGAAACTTTATATATACTGTTATATTCAATGTTACATATTCTGACTACTTTCAATAGTCATCTTTCAATCCAAGGAAGAGAGCCTTGGGACACAGTGTGTTACATTTTGGGCTGCTAGCTGAAAGGTTTTAAGTTTAAATCCACCATCCTCTCTGAGGGTAAAAAAAAACCCCAAAGGACCTTTGACAAAATCCAACACCCTTTCCTGATGAAAACACTCAACAAAATAGGACTAGAGGTGAATTTCTTCAATATAGTGAAAAGTA